GGGGGGGGGGACGTCGCGGCGGCCAATGAACTGGAAGTTGATCTGTCAGCACTATCCTTATCTTCAGGGCAGATTTTTTTTTTTTTATTCGGCTTATAATTCCTTATTAAATGTAATGTTTCATCTCTATGTACTTCGATATGATTTAAATCAATTTCCTCGCCATTATAAATATCACGAATACACATCAAATAGTTTTCCGGTTGCAATTTTCTAATTTCGACTAGGTGTAATGTATGCTTTACGCATGCGCGCGCTGAAAGAAATGTTTAATAAAGTAAACAGATAAATATTAAGGTTTTTTTTTTTTTTTTTGGTAAATTTTGATATCCTTTAGATCACAATTGCACTTTATTTCATAAATTACGATTTCATATTTTTAATTGTATAATTTCTACATGCCATCTTAACAGATTTAAACTGATGATCTATAATGCGGAAAAATCAATAATCCCGAATCGCCGAAGTCCCGACGAGTCCAGATTAAAGACTGGTACAACTCTGATATACGCCCTAATTTCACCAAATGTGGATATGTGGCGATATGTGTTCTGCGCTGGTTTTTGGCGCGATTGCGTGTTGTATGGCAATCCTGTTGACGTTAAAAAATCTTTTACTGGAGTTCGTTGGTTTGCGTCATGCTCTGTGTCTGAGAAGCTAAAATGGTGGAAGTTGTTGAATTGAAGTTCGCGCAAAAGGAAATATCGTCGTGGCCATCCTGTTGAGGGGCAGTGGGTATTAGAAGGTGTAGAAAGAGGTTCTGGGAGATTATTTTTAATGGCTGTGCATGACAGAAGTAGGGATTTATGATTATTTGTTATTTTATTTATTTGTGAGCCATAGTATGAATTTTCTGTAGAGTGTGTCTGGCTGTCATATAAATACGATAGTGATTACGTGGCGGCATGCTAAAGGTGATATGAAATTGGTATTTCTGCTGTTCGAAAAAGCAACGATTCATGGTAAGTGCATTTTATTTTGTAGAATGTTATGTTCATTGTTTTTTTAGTATGAATTTCTGTCGTTATAGTTGTTTTTTTGAATTGTTTGAAATTTATTTTAGTTATTTTGTCGATTAGTGCGTACCGTCTAAATTGTGCAATTCGTAGATGTTTTTTTAAGTTGAAACAGGACGCTGTGTACATGGTATTTTTTGAAATTTATTGTTGTTATGTTAATTTATTAAAGTGAGGTGTGCGTAATTCGTATATTCGTTCGTTGCCTAGATTGTGCCATTCGTAGATATTTTTTTTTAAGTTAAAACATATTGCTGTGTACACGGACTCTTGTCAAATAATTTTGGTTAGAAACTACAATTTTGCTATCTAAATTTTTTGTTTTTGTTTCGGATTTTTAGCTTAACTTGTGTGTTCAAAATGTGGTTTTTGCATTCACGAAAACCGTGTTTTTGGAGACATTTTAGGCTTAAAGTTCGAAATCTAGACAAAAAATTTAGATAGCAATATGGCAGCGTGGAGTTTCTTGCCAAAAATGTTTGGCGAGAAATTTGGCAACTTGAGGGTGCATATCAGAGTAGTTCCAAGACTTTTGATTGTATATGTAAACAGTATGTATCCAACTGGTTACACTATGCAGTAAGCTAAAATTTGTGTTTGGAATTGATTTACATGACTAAATATGAGTATGTTACCAAATAGCAACTATATGCATTAAAGGGTTAACTTTATACAGTCAAAAGTCGTTAATTCGGACACCCATAATCCGGACCTCAAAGCTACAAACTTTCTCCGCATGCGTCACTACCTTTACGGCTGCGAATATGCTTGTGCATGTGTGCAAAATACGTTTACGAGTGCGCGTTTAATGTATAACGGACGGTATAAGCTAAGCTAAAATTATCTAATTATCTATTTCAGTTACTGTTGCAGATTGCATTGTTCCTTAATCTTCGAATTGGATCCGGCTTATTATTTTTTGCAGACTGTTAGAGCAATTTTATAAAAGTAAGCTTGAACTTTTGATTATGTCAAATAGAATTTCTGATATATATTTACTAATATGTAAAGGATCTACAAAGCGAAAGAATGTTTCGAAGTTCGTTAAACAAAAAGTGGAATTGCAGCAAAAAATGGATAAAGGCATATCGTTTGTTTAACTAAACTTTGTTTATCTTTAACGCCGCGGTGGGCGCACAATGAATTGGAAGTTGATCTGTCAGCACTATCCTTATCTTCAGGGCAGATGTTTTTATTTTATTTGGCTTATAATTCCTTACTAAAGTATTTCATCTCGATGTACTCCATCTTTGATATGATTTAAATCAAATTCCCCGTCATTATAATTTGCTTCTGATAGCGAAGAAAGTAACAGAGGTTATTGAAAACGAAAAAATTTCGATTGACAAATTAGTCGGTAGACACAGCAATTATAGGACTTGAACAGCGGAACTTTGTAACTGAACAAGAAATTATGTCTGTTTATAGAATTAAAGAGAATGTATTATCACATAAAAAATGAAGCAACTTAAACAACTTACATTGAAAGAAATGTTTAATAAAGTAAACAAATAAATATTACGCTTTTTTTTTTATAACTTTGGTACCCTTTAGATCATAATTGTTCTTTATTTCATAAATTACGGTTTCATATTTTTAATTCTATAATTTCTGCATGCCATCTTACCAGATTTAAACCGATAATCTATAATTCGGAAAAATTGATAATCCGGAATCGCCGAAGTCCTGACGAGTCCGGATTAACGACTTTTGACTGTATTAACTTTTGAAGAAAAGCGTCAAAACAGACTAATCAGTTAAATATAAGATGTCGTTTCCGACATCTGTAAAGCCGTTCCACTGAGCATCCCAGTTAAACATAGGTTAGATTATTAAATTATGGCAAAGCCTCGAGGGCTATCTGCCTAAGGGGAGGGATGCCTTTGTGGAGGACTTTCTAAGGGAAACTGGCTCGTATACACATTACACATGCGGAAAAACCAAGAAAACACCCATGCAGCCAGCCCGTTCACGGGATTCGAACCAGTGGTGTTCAGCAATTTTACCGCTCAGCCGCTGGTGGGCCCCGAGTAAAACATAAGAAATGCATTGTGTTTGACAAATACAACAGAACACTTTAGACTTAAAAATATCTAACATTTCACTATGGTAACAATGCACTTTCTCACAACAAATGACAGCTGAAATTTTTAATAAAAATGGAAATTTAGAATTAATAGATAAAGGACACCCAGAAAGGCTTGCAATTTACCAGAAGTTTGGGCGGGACCAATGTACATATAGTCATACTTCCAATTAGTTGCAGCTTAAACCAACTTTCTAAAACTTTTATCAATATGAATGTTACTATGAGAACTGTGATACATATGGTTTAGTGTCAACACTCCCTAAAATAACAAAACACAGTATCTTGGTGTCAAACAGTTCAATCTTCCCACTGTAATTCATAGAATGAATACAAATAAGGATCCCTTTTTTATTCTGTAATTTTTTTTAAACTATGCATGCTATATTATTATTTCCCTCCTGTATCACCTCTTCAGCATTAGGCTTCAAAATAAAAATTCATTACTTTCATATGAAGGCAAAACAGACAGAAAGTAACATTTTAAATGTAGTGAACAGCATATTCTAATTATTATTAAGTTATTTAATGTTGGAGTAATTTACACTAATACACATTTTATTCAATACTGGAAATGTGTTTAACATTTATATGTGCCTCAAAATAATAGCATCACTCATACAGAATGCCAATTTTTGGGATACGTAAGATCCATGAACTTTATCTCATTACTCATACATAAAAAACTGTATATGTATGCAAACTGTATATGTATGCAAACAAAGGTGTAACAAAGAATATAACACCTCCACTACTGAAATACATTAATACAACCTAGAGCACTAAACATCATGCCCAAAATTTGAAACTGGATCACAAATGAAACTTTAGATCCACAATTTTAGGAAAAATAAAAGAATAAAAAATACCAAAAGACATACACAAAACTGAGACTTACATGAGATTAAACACATTTATTTTATCATAAATTTACTTGCATACAGCATTTATGGTGAAAACTATGTACAAACACATGAAACTCATGCAGATGTCAAATATGTGGGTATGATATGGAAATATTAAAAAGTTCAAATACATGATACATTACAGCTATATAAGTTAAGGAGTTCATTCAGATGACAAACAAACATTTTCAATACATTAGTAAAGGTCCATGACCTAGATACTTTCATGTAGTCTTACGTTACAACACAGAGGAACAACACACAGGTACTCTGTTACAACAGAGGAAGAAACAAAATGTGCTTTTAAAGCTGACAATTATGCACAATGTAAACAGTCAACAAATGTTTCATATTGAATATCTGAATATTGAAGCTATACGAAAAACTATTTTACATGTGTACATTCACATTATACGATGTTTATGTCACAAACGCGCCCTCATTTCGTGTACTTTATACGAAATTATATAACAGATTTAATCAGACTGATGCCTTACAAAACACAAGAATATGGGATTAAAGGTAGAAAAACATTCAAACTAAACTAACCACAATTACAAAGGATTAACAACTAAATACACAAAAACAGGGAAATTACACCAAACCGATCGACAAATCATTTATTCTCGATTTGAATAACATATTAATATTTATTTATTCGCAAGGAATTGCAGATTTCTTTTCTTTTAATCGCGTTAAATTACTAACAGTATTAAAGATAAAATTAAATGACCTATATTCCTGAGACAGTAGGACAATTTAAAGGCTGGCATCGAAGGAAGCGCAGTATCGTACCTCCTACCGGTAATTTTTACTGCACGCATACGGAAAGGAGTACGAAAGATTTAAAAATATACGGAAGTAAAAATACCAGAAAATAATATACTAGGTTAAAAAATTCAAAAAGAATATCTAATATCAAGAAGTTTCAAATAACTTCACATTGGTTTTTCTGCAGCGGAGAACTAAGCCTAAAAGGGGAAACATACTTACTTTTCACAACACGTTCGGATGTGGAGAACTTTGTGTTATTCGCCGACATATTAGAATTATCCTTTTCGCGTTACTACAGACATAAACACGTAGTGCTTATACGTAACCACTAAGATGTAATACAATACCACTAAGGGTACCACAAACGTCGTAAACAACAAATTTCTTCTTGCATTTCTGCAATGCGCATAATTATTCGCGCAAGCAATCTAATCCAATCTCAAGGCACCTCCGTTCACGGAAAGCCAAAAGATTGTTGTTGCACGGAACTTATATAGCAACCACGCCTCCCAACCGGCCTTTTATTTTCCGTTATTAAATGATTTCGAACAATACGGGTTATTAAACATTACTACATACATCTATAACATAGACCAACAATTATAAATAACTGTGTTTAGAAAAACCAATATCAACATTTCTAAATTATGAAACAAAATTAATGATGCCAATAACGAGTTTCTAAAATGTTCTTTTTGAAAGCAATTCCGGATATAAAATTTGCAAGTTATATTGTCATTTATATTTAATCAGATTTTCACTTATTATTTTTTGCTTTTATCTCTGCATTTACTCGGACTTGTTTATCCTTATATAGTATAGATGTAAAAATGTGTATACTCTTCAATGATTTTTAGTACTACTCAATAACTGCTTCATGATTCCGTCTATTTTGGCGGCACTTAGTGCTCTTTCATTCTGAGTCTTTGACATTTTTTTCAAGACGAAGTGTGTTTAAGCCGAAAGGCTGACGCCGGCGAGTAAACAAAGATTTCCAAAAGCAGATACCTTATTTAGGTTTCTGTTCGAATTCAGGAACGCAATTATTTTCATATGAAACAGAATGAGAACCCTCTTAGAACTCGAATATAATCTTGAAAATTTTACTTATTTCTTTTCAATATGATAGGGGAGCTATTGATAATAAACAGCTGCATTCTCTTTCGTCTGAAATTTTTGTAAATGATTTAATGAGTCTTTTTGGAAGCAAGTTTTCTACATAAGATGTATGACGATATGCATGATTGAGGTAATAATAGCAAACTCTTAGAAACGTGACTTATGGCCAATCACATTTTACCATTTTTATTACAGAAATATATTCTATAGTTAATTGTTTGAAACTCAGTTCAACAACACAAATAATAAACTGTTAATAAATTAGATTACTTTCCGTCGGATACACTCAATAGAGCCCGTTTTATATACTGCAAGTTTTCCTTCAAAGTCGGCTCTGCTGTTCTACCTGTAGCGGAGCGTCAGACTAAATTCGCAGACAGAATATGTTCAAAAGTTCTGTTGGACTTTCATAACTCTCATTAAAGTACGAAAACATTCATCTCTGCTAAATAAGCCTTGAACTTCGTATACGTAAAGAGAAAGTATGTATGCAAACGAGTCCATTATTCTTCTAACGCAATTAAGAAAAACTTTTTTATTTGTAAGAAACAATAAATTTCACGAGAACCTTGGATGAATCTCTATGATTTTGCAGCATTTCACAAACACAGTATGCATATTCGATTAAATCTGATGAGATTAGAATACTGAAGTAGTTTTTCTTTCTAATTAAATTTTACTATGAAATTGTAGTTGATACAATATCGATCTTTATGATTTTTTTTTTTTTTAACCATTATCTGAATTTGTTCCTTTTTCCTTCTTTTAAGTTTCGTATGCTAGAAACTTCGTCATGTCTGTTAAATGCTAATGTGCCACTTAATGTCTTTGCTCTCTTATTATTTATTCAATGTTATCTTTCTTTTTTTGCTATCGCTCATTATTAATTATTTCAAGCCTCAACTTTTACACTTAGTGATAATTTTTTAAATTGCTTGAAACTTAAAACCTTCACTCGGTAAGACATTTTAAATATATTAATGGGCAAGTAGTTATTTTATTCTAAACATTCACAAGATATTTTTAAAACATTTTGCAATAAGAATTATTTTTAAGATAAAAAATGCAATATTTAATAAATATTTATAATGAGTAAATAAACTTCTATGCAAAACATTAAAAAAACTCTTTTATCTAAATAATTGGAAGAATATTTCAAACAGTGACATAATTTAATAGCATTCATTAAACTATGTCATCAAATGTGTGAAATGTTATAATAGTATTTTAAACACTTACTTTGAAAATTTTTATATTAACAACCCATAAAATACCTAGCATAAAATAAGATTTGCTGAGATAATTCCTATGGCTTTTATATCTTCTTAAAATCTGAGAATAAAATGACCTAAAATAGACAGATAAGATGTTCCCTTTCATACAAAAATACGGAGGAGTCTAGATAGTATCTCAAGTTTTTCAAAGAAGATTCTATGCATATTTCCATGGAATGGTTAATCAGTCGGGTTTAATAAATAAATAAAGAGACAAATAAAATTTTTCAGTCATTTTTTTAAAAAAATTTAGCTTTAAATTTAATACTTGAATTTCAGATCAAAAGATATTAACTCAAATAAAATTGGCCGATCATAATCACAGTACTTAAAATCGTATATTCTAGATCTAAGCATCAACCAAAATTAATTTACATTTTTAAGCATTTACTAATAATAATTAAATAAAAATGATTTGAGTATCATAAATCTTCATAAAAACTTAAATTGTAATGATAAGGAACATTATAAATACTTAAAATTACCTGCAACACAAAATAAAATTTGCTGAGCTTATTCTTATGGTTTTCACAATCTTCTCTGGAAAATGTGTAGGTCATTCGTTTCCTATATTTAAATATTGTTGCACACATAAAACAAATATTTTCCATTATTGTTTAACCTCTTATACGTCAGTTTTTATTTCTTTAAAGACTGCGTCTGTTGGACATAGCACCATCAAAAATATTTCTTTTTAATTAGACATTTACCTCTAAAATTCTTAACATTCAAATCGTATGCGCATTGCATAGTAGCAGATTTTAAGAATAAAAGAAAATTAGTAATTGAGAAACATAATGCGCTAGAAAATTCTTAAATTCCATTTCGTTTAAAAGATAGTGCAACACTATCACTAACTGTCTAAAAAATGCATAGACACATTAATACAAATAGATGAAGCACGTTATCTCTCCACGTTCATATTGTTACGTTCTACGGATTCGTGGATTTGAGGTGACTGACGACAAATACTCGACGAAAAACCTGTGTCTGATAGCCCTTCAAATCGATAGAGTTTTGTTCAGAATCTATGCCAAAAGAAGAAGGTTGCTGTTTTGACTAATTTTGAGTATGCAGATCCTAATATAGAAATAAAATCCATAATATTTTGCACAAGACTGCACTTGATAAAACCCAATAATTAGTTTCATGAATAATAAAAGAAAAATACTCTTTTCATGTGCTAATTTTGGAATGTTAAGTGTAAAATCTTTAGTTAGAATATTATTTATTAAATGCGCACATACTGCCCTATCCTGTGACGAAAATTTAAAATACCAGGAAAAAGAATTAAGTGATTCGGAAGAAAAGAAAACATCTTTTTGGTAATATGATGATTGCATTAAAAAAATAGTCTCTTCTCTGTTTAGATAAACTAACTAAAATAATGATTGTTCAGCAGCTTAATTCATGTTAAAGCATTGCATTTACCTTTATAGAACTTTTATTTAGAACTAATTAAAGTTTACAAGAAAGTTTTTCTAGGAATATTTATTGCTGAAACATTAAAATAATAAATGTAAAAAATTATAAAATTTGATTAAAGAATCTGACATTTAAATTTACAGTGAAATATATAAAATTTGAAGTTGTTAATCACGTGCACAGAAAAACTTCAAATAAATATTCGAAAAATGCTATGTCAAGTAAAAACATTCTCTTGTGATCATTTTAAATTAATGCACAATAGTTCTACATGCATGCAGATATCAGAATTCATAAACAAATTAAAACATTTCTGTACTGTTCTTTTATTCTAAAAATTATGATTTTGTTTTAATAGTTTTAATCTACTCCTAATAATTCCAGTTTAGCATCTAATGTGAGTTTGAAAAGCAGGGATTATCAAGGTGTGATTACCATTTTACTCTCGTAATAATCGAACCCCAGTTTTGAAGTAGAAAACATCATTAAAAGTGTGCAACATTGTGTAGTAGATTTCCCCACCTAATAGTCGCACCTAGACTTTCACAATAAAAAAAATTGGCAAGAAAGTGCAACTATTAGGCGAGTAAACACGGTAGTCAAGAGATAATTTTTGGTGGGTAGCGAAATGTTTTCAAATTTGGTTTCGTTATAATAGTTTTATATAATTATTTACAGTTATTAATTTATTTATAAAAGTCAATTGACTTGTTAAAACTTTTGCGCATTTATTTATTAGTTCAACATTTTGTTCTGCAGCTTTCTCTTTCTCATTTTTTCTCATGTTTATCTAAGTGAAGTGCCATACTAAGAAGTTAGGGAACCACTGAAATAGAAAATGCTAATCTTGATATTACTTTAGAATTTCGGGATTAACATTACCATTAGATGCTAGTTTTAGGTATGAATTTTAGAAAGTTTGTAGCTGAGCTAATGTAATATGTGGCTACAGTAGACGTCTTTTGTCTTATTATGACAAAGGTCTGGTCAACTGAAAAGCATGAAAATAAATTAAATTATTTACGATACTTTAATTTACATATTTTATTCTACTAGTACATTTTCTTAATTTGGGAGATTAAAGAAAGGTCTAAAACTATATGAATCAGAAACCACATACTTGGACCTTACTGGAATGTCCTGAAAGTATAGCGTTACCCTTAAATCAATTCAAGGTCGGAGCTTGAGATTCAAATCAAAATTTTACCATAGCGAAACCAAATTTAATAGGTAATTTCTTGTTCAAAATCCTGAAAAATTAATACAGTAAACTAGTACTATTAGGTTACTATTAGTACAATAAAAGAAAATTAAACTATTAGTACAATAAAAGAATTACTACTTTCATTTGTTATTTCGCTTTTTCTTTAATGTTATTATTTATTTTTAAATTTGTTTCTTATATTTGATTGTTTTTATTCTGTTTATCATCTTCCTACATATAAACAATTAAAGAATGTGCATTTTAGCGATGATTGTTTGAGATAAATTACAGTACTATTAATACTGAGATGGAAAGAAATAGTTTTCTTGGATTCAAATAATTATCATTCAAAATAGCTGTTGATACAGCATATAACAGAAAGATTTAAAAAGTGTATTATGAAAAAGGAAAGGCTTAAAAATCTGAATTGTGTCTGCGTAATAGAAATGAAAATTTTTAAAATACAAAAATAGAATACTTTCATGTTACTAGATTTCATTCCGGTCTGGAATTAAAAATAAAATGATAGGGTTTGCTTCTTTTATTGTGCGCATCTCATATTTAATTTATACTTTTTAATGAGCTTCAAAATTTCCA